ATTGCTTTAAAAATGAAATGATTCACTTAACTCATCAACAAGAAGCAACTGCACAAATAACAACAATAAAATAGGATTTGTCATTTTTTGAAGTTCAAGTAATAAGTTTAAGAATTGTTTCCAAATTAGATGATATTTATTTTGCTATTATAACCTAAAACTATATAATTATAACTATATTATCATGAAAACATGGGTAAGTTTTGATAAAGTATTTTAAAAAGATTTTTCATTAGGATGTTAAAAGCAACTTAGCTTCATACTGGAAGTGATTTCGACTTCAGTTTTCTAAGCATTTCCTATCAGCAGTGTTTGTTAAGTTAGTAAATTGACTTTTAATGTGTAAACTTGCTACTTAACCGCACTAACTTGACTATGCTAATAGCTAATTGATCCAAGTGGGTGTACTTTGTGTTCGTGATTTTCGTGTTAATGAAAATGAACCTTCACCATAAGTTAGTCATTGTTCCTTCAACAGAATCCTATTATGGAAATCCTTTTTTAAAAAACGAAAAATATAAACATAAAATAAAAAAAAATAATAGTGCTATATTGTCTACGCCTGAGATGAAATTTAAAACTTTTAGAAAAATGGAAAAAAGTTTAGTTTTAACTAAGCAACCAGAGCGTCAGGCACGTAACCTGGAGGACGCAGATTTAAATCATCGCATTGCATCGGCGAAAATTTTTTCGTCCATTTTTTTAATACAAATTGTATGTTTGTTAGGTTATTTGTGAAGTTTCTTCTTGTTGATGAGTTAAGTGAATTATTTCATTTTTAAAGCAATATCCTTTTTTGTTTTACTACTTTTAAACTCATAGTCTCGTGTTTTTTTTTTTTGTTCTTATGTTTTATATTATATTAAAATCTGTCCGTCTGGCCCGTCACTATTAACGCTTTACAGCGTTAATAGTCACGGACACTTAGCTATCATAGGTCACGGATATTTATCCGTGAGCCATGATAGCTCAGTGTCCGGGCGCTCGCTTCAAAATATTCGAGCATCCCGAGTTTAAATCCCGTGACAGCACGGAACTTAGCCTAAGATAATTAAATGATCGTAAAATAATTGCTTTCAATATTTCTGTGGGAAATGAAAACCTTAAAGGTTTTCATTTCCAAGGCTAATAGGTAGTATATTTTAAACCAACTTTACTCCAGAAATGAATTCACTGTGTAAAGAAAGCTTCGTTTCTATTGACGACGTTCCAAAAGTTGATAAACCAACGAGAAAAAACTCTCATTTTAAAGGACAAGGTTTACAGCAGTTTTTGTGTGTAATTTAAAACGTAAATGCAAGACATTAAACATTCATTCCAATTCTTAATATCACAAAATCTCACCTTGCAAGAATAAATAATTCTAATCTTAATTGTTGAACAATCCTAAGATTTCGAATGCTTCACGAGAATATTCCCACATTACTAAAAATCTTTATAAACTATGTTTTAACAGAATAAAATTAACGTAACTGCTGATGTTATGATATTTAATTAGTAATTAACTTATTGTGAAATACCTTGCTGAATCGCTTTTGTTTGGACCTTTCAATAAGAATTATGTATGTTTAATTGCCTATAATAAAAAAAAAACAAACATAGTTTATATATTTAATTATATCATTACTCATACTGACCGGAAAAAGGGAAGTCATGCAGTTTTACTCACATTTCCCATTTGATATTCGCCAATATCATCGATCATACTCGATGTGTATAACCGGCCATCACAATCACCGGATTGCGGATTGCAATCTGACATATTATATCTGACGTGTTAGAATCTCTAAACTTCTAATGAATGTTTAATGCGACATACATTGCATGCGACATAATGTTATAATAAATGTTATATTTTAATAATTATTAAAAAGCACAATTACAAATTTTGAGTAGAAAAATTGACGTAAAGTTTTTCACCGCCATCAGGAATTATTGAACTTGCAATCTCCGGGTTAAGCGCCCGACACCTTGACCGCTGAGAGGAACGGCATATATTCGAAATCATCAACGATCATCGACGAGCATCGACGAAAATTCCAAAGTATTTATTTACATACTTAGTTTTCATTGCATTCTTGGACAGTGCTTGCTGCCACAGCAAAAGACCACTTATTTTAAGACTTGTCTACACAACTAGACATTTGCTATTAAAATTGACATTATATTAATTTTTATATTACTGTTCGCTGCGCATAAGATGAAATATAAAATTTGCAGAAAAAATAACGAAAAGATTTTGTGGCTGCAAGGATTTGAACTTTCATCCTCCGGATTATGCACGCGACGCTCTTGCCACTTAATCAGCTCTATTTTTCTGACACAATTAAAATTAAAATGTACTTCTTTATTTTTCATATCAGCCGTTTTTAATATTAGATTGTTTAATTGTTTTATCGTCGAAATCTAGTTCGATGTTCAGTTTACTAAATTTTATTTACTCCGGTACAATCAGACTACTATGGTAGCTAATGGCAATACATAAAACGTTGAATATGTAGAAAAAATATTCTTTTTTTAATTGTGGTAGGTACACGCAACAGTTTCGCTGTTGCAAAATAGGCAGGTCCGTCCGGAGAAGTACCACGACGCATCTATACCTACGGATGCTGCAAATGTCAATGGACGGCGGTTATCATTTTACATCTGGTAAACCGGTCACTCGCTTGCTACCTTCTGACACAAAAAAAGTCTATCCATTTAAATTTCATCTTGAGTGCAGATTAGCACTAAAACAGTACTAATGACATGAATGTTTCGAATATAATGTGGTAGGTTTTAAGATGAATTGGTACATAATATAATAACAATTTTCGTACGAAAATTAAATCATAATATTATCGTTCTGAAAATACAACAACATAATCCGGACGAGCCTGCCCATTCGTGTAACAGCGAACGTTGTTGCGTGGCCCCGTCACAGTTAAAAAAATACTTATTTGAAATTGATATGTAAATACGTTATTAATTAGCTACATTACTTGTTTTTTCATCTCAATCTATAATATTACTATGACTGTTAGTCATCTTGTTTAGGGCTACATAGGTTTGTATTGCTGAAAATAAATAAATAAAGACTCGAGATGATGACACTGTGGCGCAGTTGCCAAGGCAAAAGTTGGCTTCGTCGCCGGGAGTCGCGGTTTCGATTCCCACACGAGACTAACTATTTGTTTAACCCACAGATAATTGTATCAGACATCACATGGATGGACATGGAAATTTATTATGTAAAATGTCCTTACTACACGTGGTAATGTTATCCAACAGTAAAGGGGCAATGTTTTCTATTGAAAGACCACAATACATCTAACAATGATGTTCTAGGTCTCAGTGGTCGATATGACGAACTACAAAACCCCTTCCAGATAAAATAGAAACTATAGAACTATAAATACAACGTGAAATAAAACAACTTTTTTTATTTTTCACATATAGTTTTATTTTTTGTATTAATAGATATTTACCTAATCACGTAGTAATTATTATCGCTTACAATTCTTAATTTGGAATGATATTATGTGAAACATTTAGCTTAAAAATAAATTAAAAAAGAAACATGACTTTTTTCCTTCTCCTACACATGCAAATAAAAAAAAATAAGGAACATGACAAAGAGTTAAGATGAAAGTGACTCTTTGGTTTTATTGCATTTTTATATATTAACCATACATCTATTTTAGATGAAACAAAAAAAAATAAGTGGATGATATCACCCATCATCCGAAGAACACGGCATCAATAATTATATTGCAATAATATATTGTAATTTTGACGTAATGCTTTTCTTAATACTAAGTTACTTTTTTCATTTATATTGATATTTGTACATAAAAATAAAACAATGCCAACAACCATGATAAACTATAATAATTAAGTTATAAATGTAATAATGGACACAAAACAATACAAATATTTAATAATAATGTTAGCAGACAACGGGCTGCTAAGGATGAATATGCCTAAACAAATGAACAGCATAAAATTTTTTTGAATACATTTTAATTATTATATAAACATTTAAAACAATAATTACTGCACCAATAAATAAAAGTCAATTGAAATAAATAGGATAGAACAAACAAGAATTGCAGTTGAATAAGTAATAATCAGTAAACAGACAAAAGAAAAAAATGAGGGAAAAAAGAAGAAATTAAATGATGTGCTGGAAAGACAACAAACAGGAACCTTTTAATTTATCGGTGCAATTAACAGGTACAAAATACTATTTCCTCCAAAATTTAGCCAATTGATTGCGCTATAAATCTTATAGGGGCCAGATTTCGAGAAAAGCGGATACTTATATTAGATTTGGAGCCACCCCATAGGTTACTTGTAATTTAACATTCGAGAAAGTTAAAGTTGATTATAATTGCAATAACTTACAGAACTGACTCCGATTGTTAAAATCTATTTCTTTCTACGGTATAATATAGTTGGCGAGCAAAACATATTCATATCACCATAAGCTTATACTGATCAGAAAGAGCAAACTTGCATATAACTATAACTATTTGAAATTATACAACCAAGCTCATAAATTATTCGCATCATCTGCGTTACCGATCTAATATCATATTACAATGAACAGAATTCAAACATTATTACAATACACATTCATATGCCAACACCCCTGAGTACGTATCAGCTTCAATAATATCAACGAATCAAGCTTTCGGATATTGATTGGATTATCAACTTTCTAACTATTAATAATACTTTCCAGTTGGGTCCCACATTACAGATACATTGACGCGTTAAGTCCGGCAAGAATATCAAAAATCAGGTCATATCAGCAGTTCATATCGTGAGTTCCACAATTGACGGCACCGACCGTCTCGCACTAGTTCCACCTACATGCACAAAACGCAACACACACCTCACCGTCCACAGTTCACGGATAGTGTGCACAGAATTATTATCAATTCACACGTCAGTGCGTTACACGCGCGCTCGGCGAGCTAGTCGCGGACGTAGCACAGCGTGTAAAGTCGATCTCAATATTGGCGGTCGTCGTAAATGTAGATCGCCTCGCCGGCGGACTCCTTGAGCGGCGGCGGGGGGAAATCGAGCTCGCCGGGCCGGAACAGCTTGGAGGCGTTGGGGGCGGGGGAGGCGGGGGCGGGCGAGCTGCCAGGGGAGCCGCCGCCGCGACGCTTCACGCCGCTCGGCGACGCCACCGCGCGGAACGACGATCGCCTAGCAAGTCTGTAATAAATCAGTGTAACCAATAGTGTATACGAACTCCCCTCCACTATAATTTCAATTTAGAATGCTCGCAGTAACGAGAAGTGTAGAGCACTTCGTCACGAGAGATACTACGTCAAGAGAAACACTACGTCAGATCATGAAAAATAAAGTCAAGTGGAGTAACAGCCTATATATGTCCCACTCTTCAGAAAAGCGACCTTTTCATAATCATTTTAAAATGCATTATAATATATACCTTCGGATAAGTTGAAGAATATTGTGTTAATATTCCGCCATTTTTTTAATTTTTTGTCTCTTTAAGTGTTCGAGTAAAAAATCAAAAGTCTTTCTTCTAAAGCGGGACATAACAATAATCAGAGGTTTTTTTAAATTATTTTTTTTACTAATAACAAGTACTATATGTATTACATTACTTAGCATGTTTAAGTGAGCATTCCCTGAAAAGCCAGCCTGGCGCGCGCGGGACAGGTCTCAGAAAGTCTCAAAAAACTAGGTCGTCTGGCAACGCTGAATACATGACATTATTTAAAGTGAGCAAACAAAAAAAACATGATATCGCCTCACCTCGTGGCCACCTCCTCGGGGGTCTCTTCGATCTCGAGCACCCAGCTGACGGAGTCGTGCTTCTCCACGACGCCCTTGACGGCGGGCAGCGGCGGCGAGTCGGGCGCGGGCGAGGCGGCCGGCGACGGCGGCGAGTCAGGCGGCGGCGAGCCCGAGCGGCCCGACTCGCCGGACGACGTGCGAGCGCGCAGCGGCGCACGCTCGATGTACCCGCCTCCGGCGAGCAACGACACGACCTGCCGTCAGGTTCAGTGAGCACTTTAACCTTTGGCTGTGGTAGGGCCATGCAACAGTCCACGCTATTGCAACGGGCAGGTCAGTTCCGGGAAGTACTACGACCTCACAGGAGAAACTACTTATACTTCTACGTTTCGTCTGGTGAGAGAGGTAGCCGGGGCGCACTTACTATAAGCTACTATGGCAACGCATCTGCAGCACTAGGGAAGTCGTAAATATTAAAGGGCAGCGGTTATCGATTAACATCTGGTGAACCACTAGCTCGCGTGCTACCTTTTCGCATAAGAACAAGAACTGTGCAAATTAGCCCCACTGCTAGGCTGTGGTAGCTCAGGGTAGGTCGGTACATGAAGTACCTGGGCCTAATCTTAGATAGTCGCTGAGGCTTCGAAGAACACTTCCAGCACCTAGTCCCCCGGATCGAGCGGATAGCGGGTGCAATACCTTGTCTACTAATTAATCTTGGGGACCAAGAGAAGAAGTTCGCCGCCTCTATGCTGGCGTTGTGCGATTCGTGACCCCTGTGTGGTCAAAAAGGCTCGCCATCCAACTTTGCAGGTCAAAGATGTACAGTGTCCAGAGGCGGATGGATATACGCTTTGCTACGATGCTTTGTTGATTATCTGGATAAATTGGGATGTGAGGCAACGACGAATTGTTTCCACTGCGATGGAAGCTACCAGGATTCCGCAACGCATACCCTGGCGGTATGTCCAGCATGGGAGACGGAGAGGAGTTCTTTACCAGCAGTCGTATCGGCGATTTTGAGTCGAGATGCAGCATGGAGGGCCGTAACCTCTTTGTGCAAGACCGTAATGGTCAAGGAGGCTGTTGAAAGGGACCGAGAGAGGACTGATCCCTCTCGAAGACGGGGTCACCGAGACGAGGACACCTCGTTACGTTCCTCGAAATATAAATGGTGTTCCTCTACCAAAAACCGAGCCTCAGGGATCGCGGATGACTGTAGTCAGTACAGCGAACCTAAGGGCGACAATGGGTTAAGTATGGTTTAATCTATAGTGGTTGCACCACAGGGGTGGGAGACGTTATGTTACCGGAACGAGGCTATTCAAGCCAAGCCAAGGGGGGCTGCGGTAGTGTTTCAAGCGGCCGGTGACTCCCGTGACCCCCCATGAAAGCTGATGGCGTCCACCGTGGGGTTTTTTAGTCGGTGTGAGTCCGACATAATTTGGTTCCCCTATGTGAGAGGCCAGGTATCCATAACGGATTTCCCCACGTTAAAAAAAAGCTGTGGTAGCTAGTCTAGTCTAACAGATTGAAATATAATTATGAATTGGAATTAAAACTACCATATAAAGAATCATACGAGTGAAATCAAAGGCAATTAGACACCAATAGTTTGTGTTCCGAGTTGAGAACATTAACTAGGATTAAACATTGCTTATCATAATGTATGTATACATACCATATAATATGATATACTCATATACTTAGTTCTAATTAATAGCACCTACACTTCTTTCTCTAACTAACTTTCCGGCTAGCTGGTTGAAAATGCTTTAAGGCATTAAGCCCGCCGTTTGTAGCAGCTTGTATAAAAAAAGTGTTTAATCTATATACCTACCTATATTCTTTACATTATAATTCATTATTTATATTTGTTAGGTCTGAGGATCGGTCATAATCTATCGTTCATACCCCAAGTGATAAGGATAAGGGTAATCCACCCCAAACATTTTTCTATCCAACAAATTCCCTAGAAATAATTTATACGGCAATTGCCGGGTCAGCTAGTAGGTAAGTAAATAAATGAAGCAAATAAATTATCAAAAAAAATACTTCAAAGGCTGACCTGGGACTTCTGGCGCAGCTTGTATCTGAGCTCCTCGTTGAGCGCAGCGAGGCGTGCGGCGTGGTCTCGGTCCCGCGCCGCGGCGTCGCGCAAGCGCCGGTTGTCGTCACGCAGCCGGTCGGCGTCGCGCTGCCGGGCGGCGGCGCGCTCGCGGAGCTCCTCGGCCGCGTGGCGGGCGGAGCGGGCTTCGCGCTCGGCGGCGGCGCGCCGCTCGCGCTCGGCGCCGAGCTCGGCGCGCGCGTCGCGCAGCGAGGCCATCTCGGCCTGCTTCAGTTCGATGACCGCTCGCAGGGAACGCACCTGGGCACGGTGGAACCGAAATTATTACGCGTCGTAATATCGCCGAACCCAATGGGCAACTTGAGAATTTTACTTGTAATTAGTACTACAAACTGAGAAAACCATTGAGTTACTAAACCATTTCTAAATATATTTTCATTGCTAGAATAAAAGTTAAAAAATATGTATTTAATATCCCAGTATATGGTAGGTATTAACGTATTTAAATATACGTACTTAGTTTACTGTCATTAGTAGGTAACATGTAATAAAATTTTCAATTTAAGATTCGGCCGGTATCCTCATCGCAAGATAATTTAGGATTTGAATATGAATAAATGAGGACTGAATAAAAAGTGGAAAAACCAACTGTTATGTTTTGATTTATGTTGCGGAACCGTGACAGACTTATTATCAATTTAGTAAGAAATTAGATTCGTGATTATCCCCTGTAAAACAATATTTCAGCGATTCCTAAAATATTTAACTAATACTGTACATATAATGCGACATAATATGACATGCACTGTATTGAGCAAGACTGCGATTAGGCATAGCGTAACTACCTATATCTCCATTAAATTAACCTATTTTTTTAAGTTAAAAATTGTCCAACGAGCAGACGGGTCACTTGTTTTAAGTGAAGATCAACGCTCTTAGACATGTACAACACATTAGTTGAAGACTTTTAAAAAAATAGGCGCCGGTTAACCTAACAAACAACACGCAAAAGTGCCGTGGTATTACCCCAGTCGAGCCTGCCCCTTCGTACAACAACAGAAGCTGTTGAGTGGTCCTACCACATTAAAATATAGGACATATCATGTCACAAAACGATTATGCACAACCTTCGATCGATTTATGTACCTCAGCCGCTAACTCATTAGCGTCCGTGCTCAGCTCCTCATTTGCGTTCAGTCGCAACTCGCACTCCTCGGCATCGCAGCACACCGGGTCGCAGGCCGCATCGCACATTTCGCAGAGGCGTTCGAGGCGGGCGGACTCGCCGAGCTCGAGGCGAGCGAACTCGCCGCGCTCGAGTTGCGCGCGCTCCTCGCCGCGCTCGAGTTCTGCTCGCGTCGCCTCAAGTTGAGCTCGCAGCGTGCGCTCGATCTCGCCGTGCGCGTGCAACCGCGCCCTGCTCTCCGCGACTTCATGTTTCAAAGACTCGATTGTATCCTGTAATTAAAAATGTTGTTCGGTTTATTTTCAACGTTTTTATTCAACAAGGTTTTTTTTCCACAGCAATAGTTTCGATTGTGTTTTGCATTATTTATTTTAAAGAGACTTTTATTACTTAAATTAAACGAATGGAAATTAAATTTTACTGACGATTGTTTTTACTATTTAATGTTTTTTATTTGTAGAAAAAAGTGTGAGTCTTGAAGTAATTATATAGTGTCTTAATGCAACGCATTAGAAAAGCAGGTTTCTTACTTAAAAAAGGGCCAAATTTATAATATTACACTTCCTTACCTTTAATCCCTTAATGTCATTCGCCAAGGCGGCCACTTCTTCCATATGTATGGCCTGGAGACGTGCGTTTGCCTCCTCCTTGGAAGACACTTCCATCTCTAGCTCTGAGATCTTGCTCAGGCATTCTGCGACTGAAAGATTAAACATTATACTAATTTTTAAATTGTCATAATTATGATCCTTGTAATTATATAAAACATTAATAATTGTTTTAAATCATTGTTATTATTATTTTTTATGTGAAAAGTTGCCCAGCAAGCAAGTGGTTCACCTGATTTTAGGTGAATACCAACCCCCATGGACATCTACTACACCCAAGGGTTTGCAGATGCGTTGACAACCTTTTGAAAATTGGGCTCCGGCTACCTCACTCACCAGACGAAACGCGAAAGTATTATACTTCCACTTTACGCTGATCTTCTGTGAAGTCATGGTACTTACCCGGACGAGCCTGCCCATTCGTGCAACAGCCGAGGCTGCTGCGTGGCCCTACCACAGTTAATTATACAGATTTTATGGCATTTATATTAGTGTATGGATGGATTTTATATTAGTTATACAGATTGCATGGCCTAGCTGCTATAGGTTTCTGCGTTATTGTTAACGTGTTATAGTTTGGAATGGGAATTACGAGAGAAATATTTGTATAAACTACAGATGTTGGCCTGGATCTAAGATTTTTTCCACGTCATCTAATAAATATATAAAATTCTCGTGTCACGGTGTTTGTAATTGAACTCCTCCGAAACGGCTCGATTTTCGTGTGCCTATCTGCCAGGGTAGAGAATCGGACATCTATTTTTCATCCCCCTAAATGTTAAGTGTGGTCCACTCCAAACATTTTTTTCTACCCTACAAATAATTCATATGTCAAAACAACGTTTGCCGGGTCAGCTAGTAGCAATATAAATTAAACCGCCTTGCAGTACTGGAAATAGTACATATAAAAGTGTACGAAGAATCTAAGCGTAGATAAGAATACTCACGAGACAGCTAAAACTGATTGAAGTTTTAAAATTCCACATCTTTAATCTGTAGTTTTTAATATGTTGATGTCTGTTTATGGTGGGTACCAAATAAAATAGTGTTATTCGACAACTCAAGGGCCCGATTTTAAAAGTTACATGAGAGACTGTTCAGTCAAACTAATGAATACTTGTATATCAAAACTGGTGCACACCGGTTAGCCGCCATAGCGAAAACATGTTAGTTGGAAATAGTTTTGGCAGTCATCTCAATATATTTAGGGCGTCCCATATTTACAGATGGAATACATACATCGATTTGGAGCAGCTTAGTTCTATTCATAATAACTTTCAAACCATGAGTAAATGTTTACACTAGAACTCTAATGTAATTTGGTCGGATAATCGAAGTAGAGGGTCAGTGTATGATCGTATAAGAATGAATACAATAACGAATCCAACTACAATACGTTCACAGTGGAGGGCATAAGCTAGCAAAGGCGAAAAAATTCTAGTCGCTTGTAGAAATAGGCCAAATATCCTCGTTTCAATTCAAAATCTCGACTCATTTAATTCATCAGAGTCATTCTGTACTAAAATATGTGGACGTCATTAAATAATATTGGTTTAAATTACCAAACGACGAAACGCCTGAATACGTCTCAAATTTGAAGGGGGCTTAACAGAGACCTCGGCTTATTTATTAACAAAAATTCCTTATTCAAGTATGTGAACGTAATATAAGGTAATATCATCGTCATCCAGTAAAACAATGAATTGGATATAAATATCACAAAGTCGCCTAACGAGCCGAAAGGTGTATGTCATGCAATTAGGTACGTTAATTCAATCGGCATTCAACTAAGGTACGTAATTCAAAGATGTACCGCTGTTTCTATAATACAACGGTTTGTACAAATATATCGAGTATCCAATCGCTCACTGGTATCAAGGTCCTTTTGGGCGCGCTGTTGCCTGTCTCTGTCGGCGCGGGCTGCGCTGCTCCTCTCTGCTGCTGCCACACTGCGCCATCTTTCCGCCTCTAAACGCCAGGAACCGCCGTTTAGCGCGTCCAGCTGGAATGATCGGGAAATGCTAATAGTAACTTTTACTTTTACTGTGGTAGGGCCACGCATCAGCGTCCGCTTTTACACCAATGATCAGGCTCGTCTGGGAAAGTACCACGGACTCTCAGAAAATCGCCGCGAAGTGTTTACTTTTGTGTTCGATGTGGCCAGTGATGTGGCCGGGGCCCAGATTTTTAATGCTGGCAATGCATATGCAGCCTGTCAGGTGTCCATGCAGGGCGGCGGTAATCACTTGACCTCACCTGAAAACCACTTGCTCGTTCGCCAAAATTTAACATAAAAAAGGAGCAACGCATTTGACATTTAATATTAGGGTGAACATAAAAGTGACATAGCTGCTAGTCTCAGTAATGTAAGTTCTAGGATTACTGACAGGAGCATACGTCTTACCTGGATAATACTGGCCAGCAGACGTCGACGAGGTGAACTATTTTGTATGATTTTGTTATATTGACATTCACAAATATTATATGTATATATTATTATATTGCTATTGCATATTGCGGCTTCTAAACAAATAGAGGTAGATAATTCTACCCGTTTTAAATAGAGCTAATTAATTCTTACAAATAGACAAGTTATTACTAGATTGCTTAGTCCACGTACCACTACACAAGGTTAGAGATGGATTATAGTTAATACTTACTCTAAAAACTAAATACTGCACTAAAACTCCCAAAGCTTCGACGCCTTTAGCAGCGTGCGCCAACGCTGTGACGTGTTCGCGGGGCGGATTAATAGGCGGGGCGGGTAGCGAGACTTGGAGCGGGGCGGTGAGCGGAGCGGGCAGCGGAGCGGCCGGCGTACGCGTGGGCTGCTGCGGCGTTTGCACCCGCTTGCTTCGCGGCCCCACCGCCGCCGTAACTCGCGGCGGCTCTGCAGATAAACAAAACAATGAGATCGATTGTTCTTAAAATACTATATTATCACTATACCAATCCCCGCTAATTGTTCTAATTTTTGCATGAAACGTAATCGTTACACGCTGCTATTTAGTGTCTTAGAAAATTTTCCCTTCCGCTTGTCTAATTTAATAATTTAAAATACATCAAATAATCTAGGCCGAAAAACTGAAAACAAGCGAATGGTTCCTTACATAATACTTTCTTAAATGTCCCGCGTTGAAAGTCACCATTCGCGCTGATTACTTTTCAGCGCATACTAAATTGGTTATATTTAGAGATGAAATAAAAACAATATTTAATACTTGGAGCTTAGTGTTTTTTTTTTATTAAAATTAAATGATGAAACAGCGGTCTTTTACATCCAACACTAATTAAAAGAAAATGCACAAAGAAATTTCGACATTGTACACCTATCTGTTGGTTTCTTTTGTTTGCTGCTAAAAAATATAATTACACAATGCATCAGATCTCGGTTCCCACAACGTGCTTGACAATACAATAAGATTCGCTCTGTTGCAGTACCCAACTATTGTACGGAACAATAAAGAAATCCGTGTTTCTTATTGTCCGTTGTTATCTAAATGATCGTAACGGCGCATTGGAGTATCATCATTGCCTTTTATCTCTAAATTGATTTTAAATTTTTTAATGGCGCAAAGGAAACGCCAGTCGCCAATGTTATATGTATATTCGAAACCATTACGACTTTAGATTAGTTAGTAGGCATTAGGTCGATTTTTCACTGTTGCGCGAGACAAATTTACTTTCTTTTCCTTAGACATTGTTAATTTTCAAAAACAGAAATTCTAAAAATCTGAAAAATAATAAAATTCTGATAGATGGCGGTGAAACTGTATACACATAGTACACAACCGTCCTCTAAACTAAACACTAATATAATGTGTGACTGATATGACCGTAATCGTTCAATTCGTTTAAAATTGCACGATTATGAACAGGCGAATTATTGAAAATAAAAACGATGTCGCCGTGAAATATTAATATTCTTCTCTCTAAATATTGGAACAGTTTCTATCATTTCACAGTTATATCAGATTAATAGGAATAAATGTCTAAAATATAGTAAAGAAGAAACAGAAGGATTCTAAGGTACAATAATACAACTGAAACATTAAAGAAAATATGTGCGAAATAAGTTAAATTATAAATATAATCGCTGTCTGTGCTTCATAGCGACAAGGGTGTGTTATTGTACGTTTATATCATGTGATGAAACTTCACTTATAACCAATCAGAGACACAGGGGACTCCCCCGAACCTCTTTAACGGTGTTAAATAAAAATATCCGGATTAGTTAGGAGCAGTTGCAAAATTTATCGTAAATCTAACAAGTTCGAACAACCATCAACGAACTCAAACAATGCATGAGAGTCTTGTTCTGGTAGCTGAAAACCACCCCCATATTATATACCGTATCGCAACAGATACCATATCGTATCCATTATAATGCACATAATTATCTATTATTACGACTTCTGACTAACTCTCTTGAATATAACACACGCTTAGTCCATCATTCTTTACATAAATGGAACATTTGTAAGTCTTACAAAGTAAAGAAAAACTTCACACATGTAAACCTGACGAACGCTCAAAAATCTTGCTTTAGTTTAGCAATACAGGCGCAATACTGTTATATCGCCAGTGGAAGCGGCGTTTGTATGCCACTTTCCTTCATTAAATCAATACTTAACCAACATTTATGAATAAACAGGTAAGCTTTTGATTTGAATAATTGTAATATCCTGACTATCTGAAAACTATAGAAAAGACTAGCAACAAAAAACAAATGGAAAATGAACAACTCTTATTTGACGTATTTCAAAAAAAGCTTACTCGTAGCTTACTTTTTATCTTATCTGTAGCAACCAAGAGATAATAAAACATATGTGATAATGGTTGGAAATAACATTAGAGTAGTTTACATACGATCAATGCTTGCAACTTAGAGCACTTGGCTGTAATCTGGGTGTACTTCCTAATTATTTCTTAATCCGGGAGTCGTCTTTATAAATTAAAGCGTTCTTGACACCATGGCGCGTGGATTAGGTTTATTAGATAACATGTAATTTTAGATAGATCTTGTAAATATTAGATCAATAAAGATTCTACTCAGAAAAAAAAAATTAAATGAAACATTATTAAAACAATGAACAGCTACTGTCACTTATATGTAGAAGTATCGAATGGAAGAAATTAATGTTCCATAATTAAAATTTATAAAAAAACTTTCTACCTTTGGCAAGGACAATCGAGCCCTTATAGCACGATGATGATCGTGATGTATAAAAGTGAAATTGACAAGGAGATTTATTATCATTACATTCACGAACGTTAAGTGTGTGCTATTCACACACTTTCATTCGTGAACTGTTTCCGGAGTTTCCAGAACCTCTCATAGAGTATTGTAAATATAAGTATTTTACGGGTTTCATCTTGGTTAACAACAACATTGAGCCGTTAAACAGTTTAACCCGTGGCCAAGAATACAGAAAAGTGATGACTTAAAAAAAGAAAATAATTTAAAATTCAATTAATCAATAAAAGAATTAATATTTAGAATAATTAAAATAAAAATATACTCGACAATATTTTTAAAATAGTTTTATTTTTAAGTAGTAAATAAACCCCAAAATCCAAGAAATATATCACTTTTATTTGTAAAAGCTACCTTAATGGCAAGGGCCTACTATAATGTCCAAGATTACATCGAGGACAAGGATGTGTGGAAATGACTCTTGCTCTGCACTTGCAAGACCCCTGGCTGCTGCTGATTTTATACCTAAATAAGTTTGTATAATTGCATAAAAAAAAATAACAAAAAGATCTAGACCGCAGAGTTTCTTGTCGGTTCTTCTCTGTGCGGGTCTAGTTTAGTGAACCGGTGGTAGATTTTTGTTGACGTTCAATAAGAGCTTAAGTTAAGCCTATATTGAAGAAAGATACTTTGACTTGACTTTGACTTTGACTTAGAGCATACAGAAGTTCATACTTTACAAAGAGTTTAATAAATCAATAAAACTAAAGTGGAAAAAAAATCGATATACCTTCTAAATAAATATATATCACGAAATAACATAAACTGTTTATAATGCACATGTGTAAGTCTTATAGAGTATATAATTTGACTTAAAGATTCATTACCTCGTATCTAAGTGATTTATGGAGGATTTTAAATTATATATGTACTTGTAATTTGACACGAAAACCGTCTCAACCGTCATTTCATAAAAAGCTATCACTTAGTACATAATCAGTGTTTAAAATCAAACAGTAAATCTGTGATAAAATATCGCCAAAATTTCTTTACCTTTAACAAGGTGCATGAACAGGAAATTTTGAACATAGCTGCAAACAGTAAATCATACTTGAACAAATACATTCCGAACTTTAAATTTAAGGCCCTTGACATATAAAGTGCAATTTAAACTTGAGCTTGGTCACAAGGTGATTCGCGTGCCCCGAAGACTGCTTCGGATATAAAAACCAGCCAAGTGCGAGTCGGACTCGCGCTCGAAGGATTCCGTACAATTATCTATAAAAACGGCATAAAAATCGTGTCTTTTGTGTGGAGCCCCACTTAAACATTTTTTATTCTTTTTTAAATATTTTTTGTTATAGCGGCAACAGAAATACATCTGTGAAAATTTCAACTGTCTAACCATCACAGTTCATCAGCAGCCTGGTGATAGACGGACAGGCAGACAGACAGACAGCTGACTCTTCGTAATACGGTCCCGTTTTACGCTTGGAGTACCGAACCCCAAAAAGTGAGCTGTTACTCGGCGGTAGACAAACAGGAAACAGACTGAGGCAATTAATCATTGAGCTCTATAAAATTCCATTTCTTTTTTTTTTTCAGCGAAATAGCTTTTCCCACGCGCATCATTGCCAGTCCTTGTTGGAGTTACGCGCCATTAACCGATGCAACTGAAGCCAGCGCCCACTTCCGCCACGCGATAATAAATAAGCTGTAAAGAATTCAATCCCTCGACGGTCGAAACGGAAAGATGAAATAGCATCCAGTTTGTATTAGTTAATGGATCGAAATTTACAAATGAGTTGTACAACGATATCTTAGCTTTTACATCTTAATATACCCACTTGAAAGCAGTGGTTATTTTGGTACGCCCGTGGAAGTCTCTAGAGGACATTGAGGGTATTTTTAACCTAAAATATGGTAATATTAAACAAAGATAAACGAATTTCTGCCATTGTGAAATACAGAAATAACGACTGCTAAAATTATTAACTTAACGACTGCTAAAATTATTAACTTAACGTCTCATGGAACAATTTGTGTTTTCAAATACAAGTTTTAAACCGGAAGGTAATATATTGGACCTTAGACATTGCGCAACACCTTAGGAGAAATAATTATGCGGATGATGTCTCAATAGTAATTTTATGAATTGTCTTCGTAGAGGGTCAGGCGACGGTAACTGGGCGCGTGGGCATCAATTGGGAGCATCGTTGAAATGTCAAATTAAGAAATATTCAGGGTTGCCACAGTAATAAATCTCGTGAAGAAAATCTTTTTTATACAGAAGATTAGAGAAACCTTGTTTAGAATTAATAAGTTTATGAGTAAACAATAATAAATAACAAGAAGATTATTTATTTTTAAGAAAACAAAGTTTTTATATTAAAATCTAGAATACTAAACATTCATTCAATATATCAATATAATATAAAACAATAGCATATTTTTGTTTAGTTTTTTTTAGTTTATGCCAGTACCAAATGAACACATAATCACAATATTCCGTGTTAACGCTCTACCCACACGTTAACTTTCACCTGCGTTTATCAGCACGTGTTACGCGTTTTAACTATGTAACTTTGGGTCAAGTTGACCGCACTTGACTCTAAAACCAATTAGGCGACACTTCGTATGCGTATGTCTGCCCGTTTAAGTATGACACGAGGCGGAAGTATTACGTTTTAGTT